CTGACTACGCGAGATACATATAACATTTCATAATTTTTTTATACTATGTTACATAGAAGTCTATGTACATAGGTTATTTCATTATTTTGAATAGTAAGCAGTCCTACATCATTCATGCTGTCACCAAACTACCATGTAACATGGAAGCCAGTACTATGTACTTTTTTCCGTGCAAGTACGTAATGTTACAAGTAGTTAAAAAAACGAAATGATTAATAAATCTAATAAGTCATCGAGTATACATATATCTTCCTGAGTAAATACTTTTTTCTCCCGATGAATTGTGAAGTATTTTCCTTAATTGAGCACCTATATTCGTCGTCATCCAATCGATCGTCAGTATATTCGTCAGTATTATATATTGCTTCCACCAATCTAGCTGATTGCCAGTTTTAAATGTGCACTCTCCAATGGTAGGTTGGTAATACAAAAATAAGTAGTGAATGTTAACAAAAAGTTATAACACAATTAGAATCAATTTAATATAGTCTTCTTTAGTTTTCTACGAGTTACCTTAATTTTAGAAAAAGTCATTTTATTGATGGAAAATATTTTGAATGTACTCATTGATTATGATATTAATCTATAATAAATGATAAAATAAAATATTTGAAAACGTATATAATTGTCATTGATTATCAGTAATTGGTAAAGACTATAGAGAGTACATAGTTTTACAGATATTAATTGTTAAAAACCAAGAGACTATGAAATCAAATATGATCGAAATCAATTTTTCAGGATCACCAGTTGCACAATAATTCCACAGGAATAAACTAATGGTTCATATGCATTTTATTTATTTTCAACACTCATAAAATAATATTCATCCCACTTGAAGCAAACAATATAATTATTAATTTAACTTATGATAAAATTTGTACCATCTCTTTTTACCTCAACTAATGAATTTTCAGCGTTCTAAATTCCGAGAGAAATATATAAACAATTATGATATAAATAATTATAAGAGAAATATACTAAATAATTTGTGACTTGTCGTGATAATTAATTATCCAGAAAAAAGACTCATGGCTAATGCAGATAAAAATGAACGAGAAAATACTGTTAAGTACACCTTTTTTTATGTCTGTCGTATTCTATCTTGATTATTATTCCGGTCGTGAATATCAAGACGAGTAAGACGGATTTATATTTCATTCTGAATTACGAGCGCATTCCTGCATTACTTTTCTCTCATCCTCCATCGAGTTCGATTCTTTGGAGCAAAATATCTCTGGTTGCGACATTCAATTTTCACATCAGACGATGATTCTAAAATCAATATTTTCCAGTGTACTGAGAATACACTGTCATATTACTATTTTCTATATTATGCATAAATTATTTTTCCTTTTATGTTCAAATGAATTTAATTGAACTTTAATTAAAATTTTATCTTACACTTTAATCTTTAGATTTTCACTCACAGTATAGTATATAACATATATATATATGATTCTCGATCGTGTTTATGTACAAAAAGGATACAAGGAATTCCTTTAGAGTCGACTTAAAAATTCTGCTGAAATAACTCAAGATGGCAATCATCAAATGCAGATTTTATAACAGTTTATTTGTATACAAATCTATTCATTACGGTATTCAATTTTGTTATTTGTACAACTATTTTTATTAATTCTCCACAAGCTATCTGTACAGTATGATGTATAAATATCGAGAACCATATAGATTTCCCCGATAAAATAAACTAATGAATTCTATGTAGAAAATAGAAACGACCAATTGGGATTTCGTGTATCGACGCGACCTACATTTTCCTTATTTGGATTGGCCTTTTTTTCAATCAAGTACAAGATCAATTAATATTACATCACAGAGAATTATTGCACTTATAATAAATGTTATTAATATCATTGATTGGAGTCAAACCTATAGAAGACACTTTAACAGTTCTCTTATCATTAAAAACATATAAAATATTATTCTCACGTGATGAAAAAATCGCAAGTAGAATTTATTTTTGGGAAAGAGTTCGCACTGAATTCGAATTTCCTAAATTTAAGTGAGGCGCGAAGTGGGATACCATATTAGGCCCATATAGGGAATGTGATTATTAAACGTATTTCCATTAAATTTCTGCGAAAAAATAATATGCTAAAATTTGTTCCCTAGAAGGATTCGAACTTAGGTAGTTACGATCGCTGCCTTGCACGCATCTGAGACCAGTGCCTTTACCCGCTCGGCTATGTATTCAATTTAATAATCATTATTAATAGGTTAATATGAACGAATCCATATGTGTAATTTGTAAAAGATTCATATGAATCATGATTTACTATTCTATATTAGTTGTAATATATGTTTATTTACAATATGTATGTATATTTACTATTATATAATGTGCAATGTAATTTGGGTTTAGTTTAAGAAATTCTAAGTTGGCCCAAATAAGTAATTCCTAATCAATGCCTAACTTTCACATGAAATTTGAAAAATTAATAAGGTTATCATTAGGAAGTTATTAGGGATGTTCATTTTGTCGATAGCTTTTAATGTGAAAATAAGTATCAATTTTTTGATTAATAAATCTTACGGAATAATTCAATCAATAAATTACCCAGAAGAAAGAATCAATATTTATTATGAAATAGTTGGTTTATAAAATAATTTTAGGAAAAATTTTATATTTTTTCTACATTCGTGAAATTGACAAAACATTATGACAAACATTATTTCACTGCATATTTTGGTCTGAATATTTGTACACGAGGGTTTTCAGATTTATAGATCACAAAACCAAAGCTATATTTGCAAAATTCAAAATGGTGGATCCAATATGACAGAAAAATGTGTAAAATTGAACTAATCATTTTGACAAACCAATAAAACTTTATTCTACTGCATATTTTAGTCTAAATATTTGTATACGGGGATTTGCGGGGCCGTTGTTTACAAAACTATTATTAGCTTTGGGAAATTTAATGTAAATACAATATGGATTTTTGGGATCACGAATCTAAAGTTAGATTTAAAAAAATAAAAATGGCAGAAAATTATGCCTGACTGGTTGGTCTGAACGATTCAATTGCACAAAATTATTTTTTTATTAAAAGGTTTTATTATTGTAATTTAACGAATATATTTAATTCAATGTAAATCTTTTATATTGTAACCAAATTATTTAGTAAGCACCAGATAAACATTGTCCAATAAATGATGAACTCAAACATCTTTTCATTTAAAATCATGAGATTGTAATTGGAAAGTTATTGGGTAGTGCAAAATTGGGCAAATTTTATTTCATCCCAAAAACAAATTGATCAGGCATAGGTTGGGAATGTCTAATTTACACTAACTCATTCAATTCCTAATCCGGTATTTTACTCATGTAATGTATATATATATGCGCTTTACGGATTACTTTATTACTTTTGAATACTTTCATGAAAAATTTGGTCTTTTGTTTTACTTACTTATTACATCTATATTTATTATTTTTCACTTAAAATTGAAATCATTTTAAATTGTTGTCTACTTGTAATCAAATTTTTAATACAAGATACTGAAAGAATACATAAATTCTTTTTGAATACAGAAAAATTTTTTTTCTCTTCCGGTTTCATTTCCGGAGCTATACTATTGCTAAGTGGTGCTTTTACATGTATGCATACGAATACTGAGGACAATGACCCCTATGACACATTTTAAAGAAACCAAGATGGAAAAAGCGAGGTGAAATGTTTTCTAAAAAAATTACCATAGGCACTTCTTTCCATCACTATTATTAGTGCTAGTTTTTCTTTTGCTAAAGTTTAAAAACATTTGTTTTGACAATTAGCCAAGACTGAAGATACACATCAGTATTATTGCTTTTAATGCGAGTATGAATAAACATTACGCATAAATAACAAAATCATTAATTACGGAATAAATTTTTCTATCAGCTATTTAAATAAAGATAACTAAATGTAATAAAGAATATCCTCCTAAAATTATAATCGAAAAATTTTTTTCCAATAACTAACGGACAACAGCGTGTCGCAAATTGCGAATTATAGTCCTAGTGAGTTCAAGCAATTTAAAAATAGCTTGGCACAATAGAATAGAATAGTTCACTTTTGGAACGTGAATATCAAAAATCATAAATCTTATTATTGAAGAACAGTTTATAGAATATTCTATTGAAAGAATAATATTATAGTCACAAATATTATATTGAGCAGAATCTAAAAATAAGCACGTCTGTCCTTTAAATGATATCATTTTTCTTAGTAATATATATTACTGAGAAACAATAAAGACCCGAATGCAATAATTTCAGTGTTCAATGCAATATGTACACAGCTGCTTTTGAATAACCCCTGACGAATATTGATAGATCGACAATCTGTTAAATTTATAGGTCTGACCTCAAGCTCTTTTGCTTGTTAATCAATTGTTCACTTAACGTTTGTGGGACGTGACCGAAAAATCTTTTGGATATTTCATCAGTCGTAATAGACACATATGAAAAGATTTGAGTAAATTTAATTTTTTAGCGCCATGCGATCATGCTTTTCTACTGTTTAACAACGTTGCCTGGACAGCTGAATGATGGACATCTGTGTCGTTGAGCCTGTTTATATGTTTGTGGATCATTAAAAATGGAATATTTGAATTATTAATATTAAATATGCGTAGAAATAATGCTAGAGCATCGATTAGTGTTTTACACTTGAATGCAAATGTTTCAAACCTTAGACAATTTTCTATTGTTATCAATATCATGATATTGTTATAATTTTTTCATGAAAGTACTTTTTGATAGAACATTTGCAAAATAGAAAATGTCGGTTTAAGGGTTGAAGCATTTAATAAAATGTTTCGTATTAGAACATTGTTCTCAGACTTAGCTAGCATTGACATCGCACTCGCAACGAAGACGCAGATCTTCAGCATCGTACGCATCAAGCTGTTGCGACGAGTCGATTGTTAATTATTTATTTACTTTGTTTAATTGACTTAATTTTGGCTAACCATATTTATTTTACCTACAGGTTGACTTGAGGCATATGGATGAACAAACAGGTAGCAATATCGTTAACGTTGGCGTAGATTTATCCGAATTCTATATGTCAGTTGAATGGGATATCTTGGAAGTGCCTGCTGTAAGGTAAATTCAATTACTTATGCTTTCAATAACTTAAATAGACATTAACATCAACTATAAGTTAATATCATTGTGATAAACTATTCATTTAGACACATATATCATTATCCTGAATGAAAAGACACGACATTTTTGAGTGCTGATGCTGCGCAGCCCGAGTCAAACAACAATAAGATAACAAAACAATAAGATTTGATTTCGACTTTAAAAAGGGCCAAAAGCAGATTAAAACTAAAAATTGTCTTGACCTGATTTGAAGCTACATACACAATAATCGATCTAAAATCAAGTCTTGTTTCCCAAGTCCAAACCAGGTCTAAAAATTTTCAAAACCTGATTTCGACTTAAATATATGTATTTCTTTCCACAGAAATGTACTAGTATATGTATGAGTAAATGTGTCAATTGATTGAGCCAAATAACATTTGATTTAAATTTAAAACACGATTAAAAAAAAAAATTTAATGGTAAATTATTTTATTTATGTTGTATATTAATTATTCAGAAGAACTATCAAATTAACTGATAATTTTAAGCAAAGTACTAATAGAAATGAATTTTTTCGTCTTCTTCCAAAGGGATTTGAACCTGCGACCGCTCAATTTGAAAAGCAGTGCCTTAATCCGCGTCGCTACTCGATTATCTTAAATTTCAAGTTAAAATAAATCTTTTTCCCATGAATTTTTATTTGCTATTGACATTCGACCTAAAGCAGATTTCGTGTTCCTCTTAAGAATTAAAATCTATTTTCGACTTCGTAGCTTAGATAGAAAACATTTTATTTTATCAAAGTACGTTAAAACCAAGTTTAAATCGACAAAATCAGGTCAATTATAATTAAAACTTGGCTTTAACTTAGGAATTAAAATAATAATAATTTCATTTCGAAGAGCTATGTCCAAACCAAGTTCAAATTTTTAAAATCAGGTCTTATTCAATTTAGTATGAAATTAAGTTTTGAGCAATTGTCTATAATTTCAATTAAATGATTATATGTAGTTTGGAGATTTCAAATTTTCCTAAAATGAAAACTAATAATGCACTGTTTATTCACACAATAATAATATTGAACTAAAATTGGATGCAGTATGAATTCAATGCAAATTTATAGTATTTTGATCGTAAGTTCTGTTAATGTCTCACGGAAAGTATGTTCAGCAAAAAACAAGTTTTGTTCAAGTCACTAACAACGACTGTTATCCAGCAGAGAATTTTACTTATCTATATATAATAAGAATAGGTAAAAGATGGGTCAATGTGCAAAAGGGATAGTTGGAGGGTAATAAAGAATGAGTTTTCCCAGATTGTGTTTTTCGGATGCATTTGGTTGCCAGGTTTAACTACTTGTTAAAAGATATTTATGAGTTTTAGGAATAAGTATGGAATTAGGAATGGTCATACTAAGCCGTGATCATTGTATGAAATTAATTCCAACGCCACGGTCAGAACTTTATTTTTACAAATTTTTGATGCAGATAATTTGGAATATATGACAATTGAAAGCTGAAAAAATTGAGAGAAAATAATAATAATGAACAATACGATTATATATAATTGAATGATCATTAAATATTCATCATTAAATCAATTCTTATCACTATCATAATTATTACAGTTGTAACAAAGTTACGGCCCTGAACGCGGATAAAATAGAAAAATATGTTAGCAAGCAAGTCGACAAACTATCGAACTAGTTTATCGATCAAAATTAAAATATCATTACCCTCCGAGTAGGTTCGCCTTTAGGAACATAAAACCAACAAAGACCGAGATAAGAAAATGTGCATACTAAAAAGAGAAAGTATTTGTGATGATCTTGTTGCCATGACGACTTCCCCACTCGACCCACCACAATAGTGGTGGGGGATAGCCAAGAAGGCGGAGCCAAACAGTATAAAAGGGCTGAATTTTGCGGAGATCGTCACTTCACTTGTCTCCGAGGCACTAGACCGACGAGAGTAGTAGCTCACGTCGTACAATACAGAGTTGTAGCTCTGGCTAAAGGGTTGTAGCCTTTTAGTTTCCCCGGAGAGTAGAAGCTTTCCGAAAATAGGAATTGGAGGGTTGTAGCCTTCCAGCCAAGAGTCGGTGCTCTTGGTTTAGCTAGCGATCGAGAGTTGGAGCTCACGATCTTGGACCGTGTAGGAGTCGAAGCTCCTCGCCGACGAGTTGTAGCTCGTCAGCTATTCAGGCAAGGTTGTAGCCTTCCCTCGAAGAGTGGCTAGCTCTTCGAGTATCCCGGACGAGTTGTAGCTCGTCCTTACTTAGATAGGGTTCTAGTTTAGAAGGTGAAGAGTCGTAGCTCACACCTATACCCCCTAGAAGAGTTGGAGCTCTTCGTCGACGAGTTGAAGCTCGTCGATTATTCAGGCAAGGTTGTAGCCTTCCCTCGAAGAGTTGTTAGCTCTTCGAGTATCCCGGTCTGGGTTGTAGCCCGACCAACGAGAGATTAGGCCACGGGGTAGACACTTTTGGGTGGGAATCATCTTCTAAATACCAACATTCTTATCATAATACTATCGTATCGCCGTTGTCGAGCCACGCGTATATCTTAGAATATAGTTAGATTTATTTTCTTTATTTTTTTTTTTTGTCATTCTGTAAAACCAAATCGTTGGTTAGGACGAGTAAAATTAATGTACGTCGCCGTGTATGATATACACGTAGCCTTGTTGTGGTTTATTTTTGTGTTTTTAGTTTATTATTGGTTTATAACGTTATTCAGTCGATTATTGTTAACTATAATTGTTATTAGTTGGAATTAATAAAGTTTACTTTTATTGTTTAAAAGAATTTGAAAGAGAATTCACTTTGTAACATATCCGCCATCGAATCCTGGTCCATAGAAATTAAATAACTTGTTAAATTGAGGCGGGAATTTTCTTGGGGACTCGCCTTGAGAAAATTTAGGTGTTACACAGTTACATATTTTATTATTATAATTATTATTAGGAGATCAGACGTGAAAGTTTTGCCTAAACTGTAAAATGTACCTTTTTTTTATTTTTTGATTCTGCACGAAAAATGGCCAAACCGATTTCACTGGATATCTAATCTGTTCTAAGTTGCGTAATTATGCATCAAATGCAATTGGTTCCACGTCAATATTATTTTTTGCTCCAAAGATAATCGAGACGAAAAATAATTCAATAAAAATTTTCAATAAATAAAAGTTATTTTATAACATAACCTAACATTTGATTATGCTTTACCGTCATTCTACCTTACCATCGAGCCCAATCATAGTATTTATATAAGAAATAAATATTTGTTTGCAGCTTAGAAATCATTCATTGAGCCAAATAAATCTACTCTAATAAATAATTTCTTAACTGTTAACAAATGTTCATTCGATCTCTCTTTCAAATAACATATTTATTAGCTGCTAATAAATTATGTTAGATACAAAGAAATACTTCTATCAGTGCTTAAGTGAACTTACAAATATTAAAAATCAATGTGAATATTATTGTCAAAAATAAAAAATGTTAAGAAAATTATATCTTAAATTTTCAATAGTAGGGGAATGCAGGGCGAGACAACTTTTTGAATTTTAAAATGACTCATATATATAATAATGTAATTGGAGTCATAAGCATATTTTCAACTCAATGTTTACTTTTGTATTAACAGCTATAGGGGATTCGTTTTGCCTCACTAAGTTACCAAAAATCGAAAAAGCCGTCTTGCCCCGTATTCCCCAATAAGTTCTATTCTTTGAAGTCAGAAAAGTTGAAGTTGTACTCAAAAGTCTAAAGTCTTCCGAATATTCATTCAACTTACAGTACAAAATTTTATTTTATTGTAGTCATCTTCGAAGCATATTCTTCAAAAAATAACAAAAAATTTTATTGTTGCAGAAACGAGAAGTTCTACACATGTTGTGATGAGCCATATCTCGATATCACTTTCAATATCACGCTACGACGTAAAACGCTTTTTTATACGGTCAACATTATAATACCATGCATGGGAATATCATTTTTAACTGTTCTTACATTTTATCTACCTAGCGACAGTGGAGAAAAGGTAAGCACTTTTTTGATGTTCATCATCATTATTAATAAAGAATATAGATATTTAATAATCATGATTGTATCCTCACTAATCGACATTGTTCAGAAATTATTGTCAGTCTGTTACACCTACAATGGTACATTTTGCATCGAAGAAGTAATTTTATCCGCGAAGCAAATTTCGTCCCAAACCAAAGGCTAGGGATGAAATCTCATGGATTAAAGTGTTTTACATTTACTCCCATGCTGAAAATATTCTTATACCCCTGCCCAAAGTTAAACATTGCTCCTCGTTTTCAGGTCCCAAAGCGACGTATTCTATTTCACGTAAAAAGACAAAAAATCGTCTGTAATATGATAAAAAATACTATGTTGGCCATGAGAGCAAAGCAAGATATCTTTACCTGGGTGCTTGTCATCCTTGCCTTCGGCTTGAGATACAATTTTACACCCAGGTCAGAATATCATACTTTGCTCCCTTGGTTAACAATGGAATATTTTCTTTTTTGTAATCTACTTATGACACTTAAACAAAAGGGTCAAGGGAACGAAATTGATGTTCAATCAAGTTTGGGATATAAAGTACCGAAAATTTAAGACTATAAACAAATGACTAATCAAAATAATTTAAGCAGTTTACAGTATAGCTATTAGTCTCTAACTTCCAGTCATGAGCTTCTTCTCTTAAATAATTCGATGAGTTCCAGATTAGTGTTTCTTTTAAGTAATTCTTAAAGTTTTAACAACTAAAAAAAGCACCAAGTCCCTTTCGTTTTTGTCGTTAGTTTCTATTTTGTAAATTTGATATGACAGTGATAAAACTGAAAGTTACACAAAATGTAAGTGTGACGTTCGAATGAACATCCTTCATTTATTTCTTATTTATTTCAAATTAAAAGAGAGGTTTAAGGAAGAATTAACAGTCAGATGCTAATCTACTACTGAATCTTTCTTCGAACACTGGTAAACAAGGTTTGATACTAACCAACGTGCCAGGTACTCAGATAATTTCTTATTTATTTATTTAGGTTCTTGGTCAGGTAATGAACACGGATTTAGACACACTTATGGTCTCGAGAAACCTAGATATGTTATTTCAAAGGTTTTCTTTAAATAAAAGGAGGATTGAGTTTAATCAATTTTATTTTACAAGTTTTTCAACAAAATATTGAATTGAAATATTATATTAATAAGAAAGTATTGAACAATAGTAAGAGTAATTGAATAATATTTAATTGTTTAGTTACTAAATAATTCATTCTGGCAAGGTGTTACTTTAAATTATACTCATAAATTTAAAACAACCAAGCCTCTAGGTATGATTGATTCAGATTTTATATCCCAACTACTAATCCAAAACCGAAGTGTGGCCCTAATAATTACTCGAGCCTATTCAGAATTCACTGGATTTATGTAAGGGTAAGGTAGTATCTCTTTTATTTTCAACCTTACTTCAAAGCAGAGGTGAACAGCCCCTAAATTAAGTTCTACGAAGCAGAGTTGAACAGCTTCCGTAGAGTGTTGAAAAATAATTGAGTGAATAATTTTTTTAGCCTATATTCTTAACCTTAACTTCGAAGTAGAGTTAAACAGCCCTCATAGAGTGTTGAAGAATATAGAAGAGGATAGTTTACCAGTGAATCTAAATTTTCGGAGAAGACCGACAATTAGAGTACAAGTCAGAGTCAACGCCAGAAACTAGACTGATGATTCCCTAAAAAGTGGCTCTTTTTATATCAAATGAGGCCCAATTTCACATGTCATCACGAGATATATATTTAAGAGTCTTGATTGTGTTAGTATGTAGATGCGGAAATCTAGTCGTGACGTTTTTGACGTCAGTAAATTTCTACATCTATTATTTCGGAAGATCTCAAATGAGCCAACATGGTATGATCTTGTCCCTTATCTATTATTTCATAAATAACAATCGTAGCCCTTTTGGGTCCTATAGTTAACTTCTGTTTTAACTGATGGCAAGATAGATTTCTTTTTAAGAGACGAAAAATAATCCATTTTGACAGTTGTGACATAAGTCACACGTAACTAAAAATGTGAATAAATAAAGAATATTTCAATATTACTAAAAAAATTTTTAGTGTGTACTGATAGATATACTATTCTTCCCTTTCAAATATAGAGTAAATACTCTAAATATGAATCAATTACATCATATGGAATATGAAATTACAAATTAGTGATAGTCCAATAGATAATATAGTAAATTTACTTACATCGAATGTGAGTATATATGTATATTTTTCACAGATTGTTGGTCTGTGAAGAATAATACCTTTCACCTCAAAACTCTATCTATTTAAGTGCATGATAAAAAAGTGTAAAATTACTACTAAATATTTAACAATAACAGAAAAACTTAATTCAAAAATGGGTCTGAGCACCCTTTGTAAAGAACCTCCTATTCATTAAAAATTATAATTTTGTCACCTTTTGTTTGTTCATATTGAATTTCTATTATTATAAACAATATATAATTGTGTGATCATGTAAAGTTATTTAGAACTACATTTTATTGAGGTTAATGAAATAAAATCATATAAATGCCTCGCAGATATCAGTGACTTCGTCCGCGTAATGTGTATAATCACGTTGGAGGAACTTGAATTTATCAAATAGATCCCGTTTTCTACTGTTTATAACGACTTCAATTGTTATAAACAAAAAGAGAATGTTTTCATATGATTAATATGGTTCGTGACGGAATTTCAGCAAAATAAAAAATCACGCGTTGAAAGGACTAAAATATGTTGATTAGATCTTGTTTTGTATTGTTTATAACAAATTCAATTGTTGTAAAAAAAATGAAGTATGTGTTCAATTCATGTAACATGGTTGGTAACATTTTTTCAGCAAAAGAAAAAATTACGTGTTGAAAGAATTAAACTATGTTGCATAGAATCCGTTTTCAATTATTTATAACAAATTGAATTGTTATAAAGAATAAGAGTAGGTATTTATTCATATTACACGGTTTAAAATTTTATTTTAGTGAAGAAATTGTCGATAGACTTGGAAGAACTCAAATATGTTGCATAGAACCCGTTCCTAATTGGTTATAACACATTTAATTGTTATAAACAATTAACATGAACAAAAAGTATCCTATAACCTTTCTAACAACGTCTTTTACATGCATGCAAAATTCGTTCGCAATCGGATGAGCCGTTTCGGAGATTAGCGCGGACAGACAGACAAACAGACCTTAGAAATTTATATAGTAGTATAGATTATTTAAAATGACCAATTAAAATGGTTATGAACAATATATAGTTGTTTAGAGTCATTTAGAATCATTAACAACAAATATAGTATTGATATTGATCTCAGTTGTCATTAACATTAATCATCTAATAAATCGAATCGATTTCAAACGTCTTTTTAACTTAACTTATTTTACACTCTTTTTGTTAAAAAAAACCGCTCCATCGAACTTATTTAAACTCTCTTAGGGTTTTCTTCGTTGTATTATTTTTCATATAGAATTTGTCTAGAGTCGAAATCTTCAGCAGCTCTCAATATGTCGAAAACGAAGAAAAACACGCATACATGCATACACGCGTCTATTTTTAAGCTTTAAATGCATGATTTTTTCTATTCAAAGGAAAAATATATATATAATTTAGAGTAATTAATACATTTAAGGAAAAATAGAAAAAAAAATCCAAGATCATATTTTCATGTATATTTGAGATAACTCTATCAGAATTTTCGGGCATAAGTTAGGAATGTCTAATTTACACTAAAACATTAAATTCCCAATCCGGGCCCAATAGGTATTTAGGTATGCCAAAAATAAATTCTACTTAGGAACAGGGTCATAAAGTTACTGTTTCATTTTTGATACGCGATGCATTTAAGGGTTAAACCTTTTAATATTCCGTACGAAAAAATTCCATTCCCCCAACGTCCTCCTCAGTCCTACGTGAAGGACGTTGGGGAACTTCCCCACTGGGGTACATTCAGGGAACGAAATTTTTTTATACGGGATACTTTCAAATACCTGAAACATAAAGATATGATAAAATTATGAATTTTAAAAATCGACCCTACTTCAATAACTTAAGTTATTAGGAATTCCTAATAGAACGTTCACAAATGATTCGCGGAATGAATAAATGAATATACACGGAAAAAAGTACATAGTACTGGCTTCCATGTTACATGGTAGTTTGGTGACAGCATGAATGATGTAGGACTGCTTACTATTCAAAATAATGAAATAACCTATGTACATAGACTTCTATGTAACATAGTATAAAAAAATTATGAAATGTTATATGTATCTCGCGTAGTCAGCATAGTACTCATGACATGCTCATATGGTCGTATGTACCATAAGTTATCGATGGGTCGATCATTTATACATGGTAAACTCTTCTCTTTATTAAAATTGAATTATTTATATAAAATAGCGCTGATTTCTTTAAAATATAAAACCAGCAACCATATTACATAGGAGCAGTTACCATACAGAATTATAACCGTTCCTATACAGTATAGCAGTCTCAACCGGGAACATGAGAGCCACAACCATGTTCATCGTTGTAAGTACCATGTTATATATAGTATATGCTTCTAGGTGAAATGCTGTGAACTTGGTAATATTTTTAAAAAAAATTATAAATATTTGTACGTTTAAAAAAGTTCCTAAAGGTGTTATAGCCTATTTAAGAGTTTTAATTCGAGAATATTTGTCTTCACTTCTCTTATTATTTCCCTATTGTTTAAAATTTAAGCACCACATTTTATTGCATTATGCTGATGTTTTAGCTACTTTTGGACCTCTTTGGAATATTTGTAGTATGAATTTTGAGAGAAAACATCGTGAGTCCAAAATCACTACTCACGCTTCAGTTAATAGGAAAAATATTACTCATACTTCTGGTATTAAAAATCAGTTAAAACTTAATTTTCTATTACGTGAAGGGCAATACAGTAAAGTTTTGACAATAGGTCCACTTCTTTCTTTTGAATATTTAAAAAATTTAGATC